TGTCTGTGGTGTCGCATTGTCTGTGGTGTCACATTGTCTGTGGTGTCACATTGTCTGTGGTGTCTCATTGTCTGTGGTGTCGCATTGTCTGTGGTGTCGCATTGTCTGTGGTGTCACATTGTCTGTGGTGTCACATTGTCTGTGGTGTCACATTGTCTGTGGTGTCTCATTGTCTGTGGTGTCGCATTGTCTGTGGTGTCACATTGTCTAGTGGTGTCACATTGTCTAGCGGTGTCTCATTGTCTGTGGTGTAACACTGTCTGTGGTGTCGCATTGTCTGTGGTGTCACATTGTCTGTGGTGTCTCATTGTCTGTGGTGTCACATTGTCTGTGGTGTCGCATTGTCTGTGGTGTCTCATTGTCTGCGGTGTCGCATTGTCTAGCGGTGTCGCATTGTCTCTGGTGTCTCATTGTCTGTGGTGTCTCATTGTCTAGCGGTGTCACATTGTCTGCGGTGTCTCATTGTCTGCGGTGTCTCATTGTCTGTGGTGTCTCATTGTCTGTGGTGTCGCATTGTATAGCGGTGTCACATTGTCTGTGGTGTCGCATTGTCTGTGTCGCATTGTCTGTGGTGTCGCATTGTCTGTAGTGTCGCATTGTCTGTGGTGTCACATTGTCTGTGGTGTCACATTGTCTGTGGTGTCGCATTGTCTGTGGTGTCACATTGTCTGTGGTGTCGCATTGTCTGTGGTGTCGCATTGTCTGCGGTGTTGCATTGTCTAGCGGTGTCGCATTGTCTGTGGTGTCTCATTGTCTGTGATGTCTCATTGTCTGTGGTGTCTCATTGTCTGTGGTGTCACATTGTCTAGCGGTGTCACATTGTCTGCGGTGTCTCATTGTCTGTGGTGTCTCATTGTCTGTGGTGTCGCATTGTATAGCGGTGTCACATTGTCTGTGGTGTCGCATTGTCTGTGTCGCATTGTCTGTGGTGTCGCATTGTCTGTGGTGTCGCATTGTCTGTGGTGTCACATTGTCTGTGGTGTCACATTGTCTGTGGTGTCACATTATCTGTGGTGTCACATTGTCTAGCGGTGTCACATTGTCTGCGGTGTCTCATTGTCTGTGGTGTCACATTGTCTGTGGTGTCTCATTGGCTGTGGTGTCACATTGTCTGTGGTGTCTCATTGTCTGTGGTGTCACATTGTCTGTGGTGTCACATTGTCTAGTGGTGTCGCATTGTCCAGCGGTGTCGCATTGTCTGTGGTGTCGCATTGTCTGTGGTGTCACATTGTCTAGTGGTGTCTCATTGTCTGTGGTGTCACATTGTCTGCGGTGTCTCATTGTCTGTGGTGTCGCATTGTCTGTGGTGTCGCATTGTCTGTGGTGTCGCATTGTCTGTGGTGTCGCATTGTCTGTGGTGTCGCATTGTCTAGTGGTGTCGCATTGTCTGTGGTGTCTCATTGTCTGTGGTGTCGCATTGTCTGTGGTGTCTCATTGTCTGTGGTGTCTCATTGTCTGTGGTGTCACATTGTCTGCGGTGTCGCATTGTCTGTGGTGTCGCATTGTCTGTGGTGTCTCATTGTCTAGTGGTGTCGCATTGTCTGTGGTGTCTCATTGTCTGGTGGTGTCTCATTGTCTGTGGTGTCTCATTGTCTGTGGTGTCTCATTGTCTGTGGTGTCACATTGTCTGTGGTGTCTCATTGTCTGTGGTGTCACATTGTCTGTGGTGTCACATTGTCTGTGGTGTCTCATTGTCTGTGGTGTCACATTGTCTGTGGTGTCACATTGTCTGCGGTGTCGCATTGTTTAGCGGTGTCACATTGTCTGTGGTGTCACATTGTCTGCGGTGTCGCATTGTCTGTGGTGTCACATTGTCTGTGGTGTCGCATTGTCTGTGGTGTCGCATTGTCTGTGGTGTCGCATTGTCTGTGGTGTCGCATTGTCTGTCGTGTCGCATTGTCTGTGGTGTCGCATTGTCTAGTGGTGTCGCATTGTCTGTGGTGTCTCATTGTCTGTGGTGTCGCATTGTCTGTGGTGTCTCATTGTCTGTGGTGTCTCATTGTCTGTGGTGTCTCATTGTCTGTGGTGTCACATTGTCTAGCGGTGTCACATTGTCTGCGGTGTCTCATTGTCTGTGGTGTCTCATTGTCTGTGGTGTCGCATTGTATAGCGGTGTCACATTGTCTGTGGTGTCGCATTGTCTGTGTCGCATTGTCTGTGGTGTCGCATTGTCTGTGGTGTCGCATTGTCTGTGGTGTCACATTGTCTGTGGTGTCACATTGTCTGTGGTGTCACATTATCTGTGGTGTCACATTGTCTAGCGGTGTCACATTGTCTGCGGTGTCTCATTGTCTGTGGTGTCACATTGTCTGTGGTGTCTCATTGTCTGTGGTGTCACATTGTCTGTGGTGTCACATTGTCTGTGGTGTCACATTGTCTGTGGTGTCACATTGTCTAGTGGTGTCGCATTGTCCAGCGGTGTCGCATTGTCTGTGGTGTCGCATTGTCTGTGGTGTCACATTGTCTAGTGGTGTCTCATTGTCTGTGGTGTCGCATTGTCTGTGGTGTCGCATTGTCTGTGGTGTCGCATTGTCTGTGGTGTCGCATTGTCTGTGGTGTCGCATTGTCTGTGGTGTCGCATTGTCTAGTGGTGTCGCATTGTCTGTGGTGTCTCATTGTCTGTGGTGTCGCATTGTCTGTGGTGTCTCATTGTCTGTGGTGTCTCATTGTCTGTGGTGTCGCATTGTCTGTGGTGTCGCATTGTCTGTGGTGTCTCATTGTCTAGTGGTGTCGCATTGTCTGTGGTGTCTCATTGTCTGGTGGTGTCTCATTGTCTGTGGTGTCTCATTGTCTGTGGTGTCTCATTGTCTGTGGTGTCACATTGTCTGTGGTGTCTCATTGTCTGTGGTGTCACATTGTCTGTGGTGTCACATTGTCTGTGGTGTCTCATTGTCTGTGGTGTCTCATTGTCTGTGGTGTCACATTGTCTGTGGTGTCACATTGTCTGCGGTGTCGCATTGTTTAGCGGTGTCACATTTTCTGTGGTGTCACATTGTCTGTGGTGTCGCATTGTCTGTGGTGTCACATTGTCTGCGGTGTCGCATTGTCTGTGGTGTCGCATTGTCTGTGGTGTCGCATTGTCTGTGGTGTCGCATTGTCTGTGGTGTCGCATTGTCTGTGGTGTCGCATTGTCTGTGGTGTCTCATTGTCTGTGGTGTCTCATTGTCTGTGGTGTCTCATTGTCTGTGGTGTCACATTGTCTGCGGTGTCGCATTGTCTGTGGTGTCGCATTGTCTGTGGTGTCTCATTGTCTGTGGTGTCTCATTGTCTGTGGTGTCTCATTGTCTAGTGGTGTCGCATTGTCTGTGGTGTCTCATTGTCTGGTGGTGTCTCATTGTCTGTGGTGTCTCATTGTCTGTGGTGTCACATTGTCTGTGGTGTCTCATTGTCTGTGGTGTCACATTGTCTGTGGTGTCTCATTGTCCGTGGTGTCTCATTGTCTGTGGTGTCACATTGTCTGTGGTGTCGCATTGTTTAGCGGTGTCACATTGTCTGTGGTGTCACATTGTCTGTGGTGTCACATTGTCTGTGGTGTCTCATTGTCTGTGGTGTCACATTGTCTAGTGGTGTCACATTGTCTAGTGGTGTCTCATTGTCTGGGGTGTCACATTGTCTGTGGTGTCGCATTGTCTGTGTTGTCACATTGTCTGTGGTGTCACATTGTCTGTGGTGTCGCATTGTCTAGCGGTGTCACATTGTCTGTGGTGTCACATTGTCTGTGGTGTCTCATTGTCTAGCGGTGTCGCATTGTCTGTGGTGTCGCATTGTCTGGTGGTGTCTCATTGTCTGTGGTGTCACATTGTCTGTGGTGTCTCATTGTCTGTGGTGTCACATTTTCTAGCGGTGTCACATTGGCTAGCGGTGTCACATTTTCTGTGGTGTCACATTGTCTAGTGGTGTCTCATTGTCTGTGGTGTCACATTGTCTATGGTGTCACATTGTCTGTGGTGTCACATTGTCTGAGGTGTCTCATTGTCTAGTGGTGTCGCATTGTCTAGCGGTGTCACATTGTCTTTGGTGTCTCATTGTCTGTGGTGTCGCATTGTCTGTGGTGTCTCATTGTCTAGTGGTGTCGCATTGTCTAGCTGTGTCACATTGTCTGTGGTGTCGCATTGTTTAGCGGTGTCACATTGTCTGTGGTGTCACATTGTCTGTGGTGTCGCATTGTCTGCTTCTTGTGGAGCCGCTGAGACGCTCCTGGCACCCCCTCCCCGTCTCCTCCCGTCAACACCATTGGACCGACCCCCACAAAGGCAAAGATCCTCCGTGTAGCCTTAGCAGACTCTTGAGCCACGGTGCTGTTAGCGAGCACCTATGAAGGCTAGAACGGCACACGAAGGGGCGGGTGGCCAGCACCACGCCCGGCCGCCTTTGGCTCCCCATTGGAAATGTTTACACACCGTACCAGGTACTCATTTGAGGCTGAGCCGACCTAGTGAAAGCCGGATAATCGTCACTGATGTTGGCCGTGAGCGGGAATCGAACTCGGCACGCCAGGTTCGCAACGCAGCGCGCTGACCGCTACACCACCGCTCCCTCCCCCCGATGTAACTAAGGGACACAATACACAGGGAGGTCACGTGCTTCGTGTGTGTCGCTGGTGTTTTGTGGCTCGTGGTAAAGGTTTTTTTTTCTCATATATTTCACGTCGCGCGCGCCGGTCTGGTCATTTTGTCGCCGCAACGTGGCGCCGACGGCATTCGAGATTTCTCCTGCACGGTCGCCGTGCCGCAGCCGCGACAGCTCGACACACCTCCGCCGCGTGGACGGCTATAACCTTCCGAGTGTTGCCGCTGCAGGATCCCCTGCGAATCCACGCGCCGATCCGTGGACTCCTCCATCGTCGCCACACAAGACAAAGAAGCCTCCCCCCCCCCCCGTATAGACCTGTCAACGGACTGTTGGGGCAAGTGCTGTTAGCGAGTAGCATCACCTATCCAGGCCGGCCACGGCACACGAGGAGGGGGGGCTGGGTGGCCAGCACACTGCACCAGGTACTCAGTTGAGCCCGAGTCGACCTAGGGGCGTCAACTGGACAATCGGACGACAGCTGATGCCGCCTCTCACTTTACACTGACCGTACCCTCGTCCCAAAAATAGCCCTGCCGCTCTTGGCCTATTTATGGAATGGGCGCTACACGCGAAGCCGACAATCCCACACGAGCCGCTCCAGACTGACTGCAGCCCTCGGCCGTGGCGAAAGGGGGGCCCCCTCGCGTGAGTCCACGGACTTCAGCGTTGGTAGCGAGAGTCCACACAGAGTTCGTTCGTCGCGGGAGTCCACGGAGTCCACCGTCGTCGTTGAAGAACCGCGCCGCCGTGGTTGTTGAGCCGTGACACGCGGTAGGCGGTCGTTCGTTTAAGCATTCGTTCACCCCACCCCCCCCTAAATCCTTCATCCACCCCCCCCCCCTAAATCCTTAATTATATTTATTTGTTTAAAGTCCGCGACTTTTGCTGCCGCGTGTGGTGGGGTGGTGGTGAGGGGGTCCGGCGAAGACGACACACCATTCACAGTCGTAGACCTCCGTGCTCGCACGACGCGGGGAGCTGCAACTGGGCGCAGGGAAGCGCCCCCCCCCCCCTTCTTAGCGGCCCCCACTCGCACACTCGCGCTCGGGATGTCGAGGGACCAGGAACGAGACGGATCGGACCACCACAACGGCGACGAGGACGATGATTTCGACGAAGATGCCATCCTCGCCAACCTGTCGTCCGAGCAGCTGCAGCAGCTTGCCGGGGAACTGGCCGCGGACGACGACGAGGTGGAGCAGGAGGAGGAGGAGGAAGAGGAGGAGGAGGAGGAAGAGGAAGAGGCCACAGGCAGTACCGACGACGATGACGACGGTGATGGCGACAACGGGAAAGAGTTGGACGAAGACGAAATCCTCTCGGCGCTGTCCAAGGATCAGCTGCGGGAGCTGGAGAGGGACCTGGACGACATCCAGCCGGACGTCTCCCTGCCCGTTGGCATGCGGCAGAAGGACCAGACGGAGAAGATAGCGACAGGCTCCTACAGCCACCACTCGCTCATCGACTACATGCAGAAGCAGAAGAAGCTGGTGGATCTCGAGAGGATTCCAGAGCCTCTGGTCGACGGACAGGTGAGAGGAGAGAGTAAGAGGGCCCTAACGCTGTCAAACTTAACACTGACTCCCACCAATCAGCCGGACGTTTTAATTATCACCATCTGGGGTGATGGAGAGGGTTTACATTTTTTTTCAACGGATCAATTGGGAATAGAAAGGACACACCCCGAGTGGAAACAGAGCCCCCAGGAGATGTAGACCCAAACAAGGGCCCTCAGTACAGTCCAACTGAACACTCGCCGAGCGTCAGGAGACTCGGAACCGTCAGGAAAATAAAAAAAAATAATTACGCGACGAATAATGAAGCGTTGAACGCGGCAGGATGATTTTTTTTTAGTGTGTGAAAAAAACCGACGATACACGCACAAAGAAAGATGTACGTATGAATCTTGACTTAAAGCTTTCGTGACTGCAGGAATTCGTGTTCTTTGGATCTTTCGGTAAAGTCACGTAGATAGGTTCAAATAAAATCACGAAAAATAACGAAAAACTACGTTTCGATCGCAACACAAGCGTGACGAACGCTTGTGTTGCGATCGAAACGTCGTAGTTTTTGGTTATCTTTTGTTATTTTCTTTTGAACCTATCTACGTGACTTCACCGAAAGACCCAAAGAATAAGATGTACGTATGTTGACCTACTTTCGCAGAAGGAAGTTCAACATCGGAGTTGCGGGGGAAGGACAACAAACTAACCACAAAAAATCAGTTCTAAAGCGATGAGTTTCCAATCGAAATTATTTCAACGTGCGTAGCTCCAGTGGTGTCCTAACATCGGAAAGGAGAGCGTTCCCGACGGCCGCAGAAGTTAATCCGAAAGCGCGCGGTGATGCGGTGACCCCTGTCTTCGTTCGACGTTGTCGAGGAGCCGTGCCTGTGAGGCCACTTTCTGTCGCATCTGGGAGAGGGTGTGAGAGAATTGTTGCTCCATGGTAAACTTTCCCCAGTGGCAAACGTTACCGCTGGTAACTTCCTCCATTGGTAACGTTCCCAGTGCAAATCCTCTCGCGTGCACGGTGGGTTTTCTCTGGGCACTCCAGTTCCACCCCTCCGCAAAGGCAGAGATCCCCCGCATAGCCTTTAACGGACTATTGGGGCGAGGGCTGTTAGCGAGTAGCACCCTATGAAAGTCACGACACCAGGGACGGTCCCGTTGTCAGCACCACACACAAACCAACACAAACAAGCACAAAGACAAACAGACGCACACAAATGCATACAAACACACACACAAACACAAACACACACACACACAGATACATACATACACACACAAGCCAACACAAGCCAACACAAGCCAACACAAGCCAACACAAGCCAACACAAGCCAACACAAGCCAACACAAGCCAACACAAGCCAACACAAGCCAACACAAGCCAACACAAGCCAACACAAGCCAACACAAGCCAACACAAGCCAACACAAGCCAACACAAGCCAACACAAGCCAACACAAGCCAACACAAGCCAACACAAGCCAACACAAGCCAACACAAGCCAACACAAGCCAACACAAGCCAACACAAGCCAACACAAGCCAACACAAGCCAACACAAACACGCACAAGGACCTAACAGGCACACACAAATACACACAAACACATACAAACATACATACATACACAAACACCCACACAAACAACAAAGACAAAGACAAAGACAAAGACAAAGACAAAGATCCCCCATATAGCCTTAACAGACTGTAGGGGCAAGTGCTGTTAGCGAGCACCTATGAAGGCCGGAACGGTACACGAGGGGGTGGGTGGCCAGCACCACGCCCGACCGCCTTTGTCTCCCCAGTGGCGATATTTACACACCGCACCAGGTACTCATTTTGAGGCTGAGTCGACCTAGGGGAGGCCCGGGACCGGTTCAGAAAATCGTCACTGGTGTTGGCCGTGAGCGGGAATCGAACCCGGGTCGCCAGGTTCATAGCGCAGCGCGCTAACCGCTACACTATCGCTCCCCCACACAAACACACACACAAAAACACACACACAAACGCACACACACACATGCATACAAACACACGTGGTGGGGATTCTCCGCTCGTACTCGCCGACTGACCCATGGAGACCCTCCCGCATCTATCGGCCGGCCGACGGCCAACGATGGGGAGTTCAAAACGTTAAAATTCTGCCTCTGCTGCCGCCAGAGCGTTCCCGGCTCTCATTCAATCGCGGGGAGGCTTTCGTGTTTACTTTTGGTAAAGGTAGTCAACAACACGGCCTGGTTACTTAGCAGCGTATCTGCGAGATGTTTGTGCCCAGTTCCTCTCCAGGGGAGCTTGAGGGAGGGTGTGTGGGGGAAGGACATCTGAGTGGAATGGAAAGTGACAGGGGGTGGGGGGCAGCCCCCCACCCCATCACCACCCCCCCCCACCCCCGGACCCACCATCCCCCCACCCCCGTATTTTCCAGTGGCTACCCACCTCAAAACTATTCAAACTATTTTTTTTAATTTTACCACGCAAGGCCCCCTCCTGAGCTGTGTGGCTGTTTTCTAGAAGCGACCTGGCTGTCGCGAATGAGAGGGCTGCTCAACGGAGTGGCTTATCACGTGGTAATTCATGGCAGCCAAGTACTCTAAAGGCGTGTTTCTACAGACCCATAGAAACCCATAGAGACCCACAGAGATCCAGATAATAATTTAGAACCATAGAGACACGTAGAGACTCACATACTCGAGTGTTCCTATGCCAATCCGAAAGCAACGCGTTCCAAATTTTATTTTAGGAACAAAAAATATCGATTTCTCAAAGGGAAGTCAACAGCAAGTGAGAGTAATTTCCCGGCTCAAATGAAGCCGAATTGCTCATCTCGCCGCTTACAGCCCCTGCAAAGAGCCAGCGGTGGATATTCTCCATTCCCATGACAGGGTCAGGGCCTGTGAACTCCCTCGAGAAACAAACACCACAAGTCTTTCATTCTTACACTTTGCGCTCACTTTGCTCCACTGGCCGAAACGCGTCCCGCTGTCGCCAATCGGTTGACAACCAAAGAGCGGTGCCGTTTGTTGCCGGCCGCTTGGCGTATTCGACGCCCTCCGAGTGATCCGGGAACGAATTGAGAGCGAAGCGAAATTCGCGTCGCAGGTTCACTGCCGGTGGGGGGGGGGGGGTGGGGGCGAGGTCTGTCAGCGACAGACGTCGACAAGGACGATACGGAGTCAGATAATTGTATTACCTTGGAGGAATCGCATGAGCTATAAAAGCTCTTCATCACAGACGCCCACTTCAAAACGTTGGCGCGAATTAAAGGTGAAAGAATTCGCGAATCGGATATCCAATATCCACGTGTATGTATGCAGGCATATATCTATATTAACCGTGTGGAAAGCGGTGGCGCAGTGGTTAGTGCTACGCTGCGCTACGAACCCGGTGACCCGAGTTCAATTCCCGCTCACGGCCACCAACACCAGTGACGATTACCTGAACCGGTTCTGGGCCTCCCCCCGAGGTCGACTCAGCCTCTCATGAGCAACCTAGTCTCAAGGCTGTAATTATAATATATTGGGGGGGAGAGGCCTTCACCCCCCCCCCAATATTCAAATATGCTTAAAATGTCCCCCCCCCCCAATATATTGCTCTAAAATATATTTCTGTTTATGTGATTGTGGTTATGGTTGTACTTTATTAATCCCTAATCTCTGCCATTACATACAATTAAATAAGAAAAGGTAAAATAAAAAACAGAGTAATGTAATACAATATACACTCTTAGACATTATTGTAAAAAATGAATACAAGTCCATCCCATGTGTTAGTGAATTTTTTAATATTTTAGGCAGGAAATGGCAGGAAATTAGTTATAAAATTTAGATTTTCTTTCTGGGAGGGGCCCCCAGACCCCCTGGAAGATTTGGTCCCCCCCAATGTTGACTCCATGGCTGCGGCCTTGCCTGTGTAAACATCGCCACTGGGAAGACAAAGGTGGACGGACGTTGTGTTAGCCATCCACCCCCTCGTGTGCCGTGCCGACCTTCGTACCTGTAGGTGCTCGCTAACAGCACTTGCCCCAACAGCCTGTTAAGGTTATGCGGGGGATCTTTATATTAACCATTATACAAGTTGCTTGCCGATATAAACTGGGGTAGATCTTTGCACGTCAATGTTTAAAATCGTATTATTAGCATTTCATTATTTAAAAAATATTTATTTTTCACGAGAGTTGTTGTCAAAGCCGAATTCTCCCCACCCCTCCTCCCCCGTTTCGTTCCCTCCGCAGTACAAAAACGGGGATGGCAAAATCGATTCTCGGCGACCGCTGGCGGAAGACGAGGAAGCGGTCGACGTGGAGAGCAGCGACCGAGCGGCCGAGAACGGCACGGCCGAGCGGGCGGCTCGCGCAGAGCGGCCTCCCGGCCACGTCGCCGGGAGGTCCCACGAAAGCTCGTCCGAGAGTTCCGACTCCGGCGGCGAGGACCGCGAGAGGAGCGCGCCGGGAGAGGCCTTCGCCCGCGGCGAGAGCCGTTCGGCGGCGAGAGGAGAATCGGCGTCGCCGGTGAACGGCGTCGGCGTTCCGAACGGCCGCGGCTCTATCACGCCTCCTCAGGAGGGCTCGGGTGAACCTGCCTGCGCGGCCGCCGCCGCCGCCGCTGACAACGCAGATAACCCCACCGGCGGTGGTGAGCAGAAGCAAGGCGATGGTGGCGGCGGAGGCGACGACGCCGAGTCGTTCAAACCGAAAGCACCTCTCAAGCTGCCCGGAGCGCTGGCCAACAGCCTGAAGGATCAGCTCGCGGCCAAGTTCGGGGCTCTTCAGAAGGGGCCCATGGGCAAGGGGCCGCCGGGCAAAGGGCCTGCGGCGAAGGGACCCGGCCGTCTGTCGGGAAACCCGACGATCGTGGACGACGCCCTCAGGGGGGTCCAAAGCAACGACCCCGCGCTGACGGAGGTCAACCTCAACAACATCGAGAACATCCCCATGGAGACGCTGGTGCAGTTCGCCGAGGCGCTCAAGAAGAACAAGCATGTGAAGGTGTTCAGCATCGCCAACACGCACTCGGACGACAACGTGGCGTACGCCATCGCCAACATGCTGCGTGCCAACCGCAGCATCGACAAGCTCAACCTGGAGTCCAACTTCATCTCGGGCCGGGGCATCGTGGCCATCATGCGCTGCCTGCAGTTCAACGAGGCCCTGCTGGAGCTGCGCTTCCACAACCAGCGGCACATCCTGGGCACGCAGGCCGAGATGGAGATCTCGCGCCTGCTCAAGGCCAACAACACCCTGCTCAAGATGGGCTACCACTTCGAGCTGCCGGGCCCGCGCATGATCGTCACCAACCTGCTGACGCGCAACCTCGACCGCCAGCGGCAGCAGCGGCTCATGGAGCAGCGCATCCAGGAGGAGCAGCAGCAGATCAGGAGGATGCTGGCGGCGGGCCTGGCCGAGATAGGCGAGGAGGGCAAGGGGGGCGAGTATGACGAGGAGGAGGGCGAGGAGGAGGGGTGGCCAGACGGGCTCGCCGCGTCTCCGCGCCACAAGGTCCTCCGGGGCTCCCAGTCGCTTCCGGCGTCGCCGCCGGCGCCGAGGTCTCCGCGGCCACCCGGCTCGCCGGTCCCGGCCGACGGCGAGACGGCGGCGGCCGGCAGGAAACCGAGGAGCATCGACCGGACGCTGGCCGAGTCGCACAGATCGTCGTCGGCCAGCGGCGAGGACGCGATGGGTGGCGGCCGCCGCGGCGGCGACGGCGGCGGGTGGAACATGCAGGGGGTGCTGTCGCAGAAGGAGACCGCCGCCACGGGGGGTCCCAGGCTGAAGAAGAGACCGCCCGACGGCGAGAAGGATTCGTCGTCGAAGGGCCAGTCACGCTTTCTGCTCAAGCGCGAGCAGCACGACTTCCGGCACGTGCTGCAGCCCACGAGGAAGCGGAAGGTGAAGCAGAACCCCAAGCCCAAGGAGAACTGCCTCCACGAGGACCTCATGTCGGAGATTCGGACGACGAACGTGGCCATGCTGAAGATGGTAAGGGTCGCTGACCGCCTGTCCCCATCTCGCTCTCGCCGTGCATGCGTCTGCCCCGCGGAGTGGGCCACGTTCCCTCGTACGTTCGCCGCGTTATATCCAGTTCGCGTCACGAGGCCACTCGTTACAGAGACAGGTTGTGCGGTTGAACTTCTTTTGCACCGTACGTAGCCAACCGTGCTAACCGGAGGTGACCGCCTTTGCTCGATGGCGAGCCAAAAGCCCGCTGCGAGCACGACCAGAGTTTGCGCGAAACGAGGTAACGGTCGGCGCGGACACCGCGACACCATGCGGAGGCAACGGTGTTCACGCTCATGATGATGCTGATGATTCTGATGATGATGCAGACGATGCTCTCTCATGCAAACCTCTTTAGCCCTCTGCACGCCAGCAAAACCGCCCGGATGTAGAGTGGGGGGGAGGTGGCAAAAAATGACCCAGGGCCTCACACAACAGAGGGCCTCACAACGGCCCTCTTAATCGTCGCTAATGAGTAAGGGGGCCGGATCCACGTGGCCGCCTGCCAGGGGCCTTCAGGGAGCTCTTTTAGGTAGCCGTGAATGCCAAAATCAAAACCAAGCAAGCACTGGCTTGAGTTCATGATATTTCCCCACACCTCCGATTCGCACAGTTTGGCTACGTACGGTGCGAAAGAAGTTCAACACACAGTTTGCTTTCCTTCCCCCGCACCTCCGAATAGCACGGTTTGGCTACGTATGAAGTTCAATGTACGTACATATGTATGGTCAGTGCGCTGACCCGGCGTGGAAGTTGAACGCTCACCGCTGTCCACCGGCGTTAATGGGTGCACTGTAGTTAGTAGGACGCCACGGTGGTGAGATGTTAACTACCTCGCCTGGTATGCAGGAGAACGTGAGTTCGATCCCGACCCTGACGCCTGCTATATATATTTGAGTTTGCGTGTCTCTCCCCCCGTGCCTGGTGTGGATTTTTTTTATCAGGGTCCCTCCGGGATTTCCCTCCACATTTAGAATCAAACATCACGCGTTTAGAGTAATTTGGCTGCTAGACACTTCCACACGATGATGATGATGACGGTCATGAGCCACTTCGCTGAGCTATCGTAGTCACCGGCGGCGAGGCCACCTACTCGTGTCTGTCGCGCGTCCCTCCCCGGCTCTCGCGCCCTGTGTGTGTTCGACGAGAGGCTGTGTCCAGCATTGCCTGCCTCGACGGGGGGAGGGGGGGGGTGGGGGGGGGGTGTCGGCAAAGCAAAATAACAAGATGGGATTAAACAAACAAAAATTTCGTGAAACAATAAAAAGCAGCTCAATATTTCGAGAGCCGCGGACCGGTACCGGTCCGTGGCCTGTTGGGAACCGGGCAGCACAGCAGCAGGAGGTGAGAGCGGTGAGTCAGCACGTGGCCCTCCTCCATTATTTTATTATTCACCACTTCCGTCCGCGCCTCTTTCCCGCACTGCGCACTCAGTCTCAGTCACAGTTGTGGTAAAGCCCACGAGCTCTAACCCCTAGTAGCCACAATGAGTAAGCCCACAAGCTCTAACCCCTAGTAGCCACAATGAGTAAGCCCACGAGCTCTAACCCCTAGTAGCCACAATGAGTAACAAACAAAGGTCACTGGAGAGCTTCTTTGAAAAGGGGGAAAGACCCAATGATGACACCCCCCCGCCCCGGTCCGTGAAAGAATTGTCTTCCACGAAACCGGTCCCTGGTGTCAAAAAGGTTGGGGACCGCTGCCTTAGAGAGCCGCACGCGGCTCTGGAGCCGCGGGCTGCCGACCCCTGGGCTCAACTGAAGCCAGGTCCGCACCTGGGCGAGTAGTTGCACACGGTTGCGCAACTGTTCGCAACCGGTTGCAGACGTCCACGTGGTTAGAGATTGGGGAAATAAAAGAACTCAATGCATCCGTCGATGCCGCTACGTGCTGTGAAGAAGGGCCATTGCACCGAAACGTCACCCACTATATACATTTTATTTATTATTATTTTTAAGTCCATACGCGTTCGTTGAAATTGAGGAATGTGTCGAGTGTCGTTGACGTCAACTCTGCTTGTACACCTCTGCCAACGCAGCATCAGTAGCGAATCGTTTGTTGCGCGTGCAACCAAGACGCGCAAATGATTTCCCAGGTGTGGACCCAGGTATAGAATTAGAAGGGGGCAGAGCCTCCCACCGCCCTCTCCCCCCGCCCCCCCGATGTTACAGGGCTGGCGTGCGTGTGTGTGTGTGTGCGTGCGTGGTCGGGCGTGGTGCTGGGCACCCACCCCCTCGTGTACCGTTCCGGCCTTCATAGGTGCTCGCTAACAGCACTTGCCCCTACAGTCTGTTAAGGCTATACGGGCGGGGGATCTTTGTCTTTGTCTTTTGTGTGCGTGTGTGCGTGTGTGTGTGTGCGTCTGTGCGCGTGTGCGTCTGTGCGTGTGCGCGTGTGTGTGTGCACGCACGCGGTTCTTCTCCAACCTGCTTGTTAGCAGCTTTCCAAATGAACGCTCCTCATTCCATGGGTGCTCGCTTACCACACGCCCATTTAACCCCGTAAGCCGTTGCCTGACGAACGCGATGCCCCTCCACGGGCCCGTGCGTGCCACTGAACGTTCGTTTCTCACCGCGCGCGCGCCACCACGAACGAGGGCGCGGCTCGGGTCCTCGCTGTGACGCCACGCGCGCCACCGCGTTTGGGTTCTCGTGGGAGAAAACAAAACAAACAAACAACGCGGCGTGTGTGTGTGTGACCACCGCGTGCAATATGTGAGCTTGCGCGTTTGTTTGTGTGTGTGTGGTTTTTTTTTTTGGTACAAACGATTAACGACCTGCTTTCTCTTTTCCAGACCCCGAAATCGATAGAACAATTGAAGGAGGAGTATCTGAAGTAGTGAAGACGTGGAATGAAAGTCCACACTCTTTAACTTTCGCGGACATTTCGGACACGCCGCCCCGCGACACCCTACGGAGGCAACGGTGTTCACTCTGATGCCCTCTCACGCGACCTCCTTAAGCCCTCCGCACGCCAGCGGAGCCGCCCGGATGTATAGAGCGGGGGTGGTGGTGGTGGTGGTGGCAAAAGACAAATAGGTAGTGTAGCGGTTCTGGGTAGCGGTAGTGTAGCGGTTAGCGCGCTGCGTTATGAACCTGGCGATTCCCGCTCACGGCCAACACCAGTGACGATTATCTGAACCGGTCCTGGGCCTCCCCTAGGTCGACTCAGCCTTCAATGAGTCCCTGGTGCAGTATGCAAACATCGTCGCTGGCGAGACAAAGGCGGCCGGGTGTGGTGTTGGCCACCCACCCCTCGTGTGCCGTGCCGGCCTTTATAGGTGCTCGCTCACAGCACTTGCCCCAATAGTCTGTTAAGGCTATACGGAGGATCTTTGTTTTGGTGGCAAAAGTGATCCGGGGCCTCACACAATGGCCCTCTTAATATTTTTGGCACTAATGAGTTAAATGGCCGGATCCACGTGGCCGTCAAAACTAAACTTTTATTTACCAGGTAAGGCCCCACTGAGCTAGATGACTCTTTTAGCAACCTGGCTATCGCAAATGATAACCCAATGAAGTGGCTTATCACGTGCTAATTCATAGCAGCCAAATATTCTGAATGTGGAGGAAAAACCGGAGAACCTGGAGAAAAATCCACGCGCGGGGAGAGAGACACGCAAACTCCAAATATACAGCAGGCGTCACGGTCGGGGTAGAACTCACGACCTCCTGCCTACCAGGCGAGGTAGTTAACATCTTGCCACCGTGGTGCCCCACACATAGACGTACGCAGCAACTACAACATAAGACGGCAAAAATATGTTTTTTTTTTATCGTCCTTCCCCTACATCTCTGAATATGGGGCAAAAGAAGTTCAACATACATACATATACATACATTGTGGTGAATAATAAACCTTGAAGGTGGATAACAAATCCGTTCGTACCGTCATACTGGTAAAAGCCATTTGAATCCACCACAACTTCTTCTGGAGGCGAGGCAGTTAACATTTCGCCCCCTGCCAGGGAGCTCTCTTTGGTGGCCCTGAACACCAACATCTAAAAACACTGGCTGCCGCCAAATGTGTTGGCGGCGTGTTAAGTATAGGATCGCCGCCATCGTGGGAAGAAAATGTAAATCTGAATTTCTCAGAAATTCGACAAGAGGGGATAATTGCGTGTGCATTCCTCGTCTTGAGCGGTGCATCATCATTCTTACACGGCTCACAAACACCGGCGCTCTTCACGTCCCGGGGAAGACTTCACATATTTCCAGGATAGCAGCTGCCTCAACAAGAGCATGATCCTCGGGAGACACCACGAAGCTAAGGCAACCCGAGTTAGAATGTTCGTGGACATCATCGCTCGACATCAAGCTAGCTTGTACCTGTTCACACGTCCACTGTTAGCAGGGAGACTCCTTTGGTTTTAAATTTTTACTTTTTTGTTTACAATTGGACCCAGACATCCGCAGAGTTGCTAGCATCTCCTGACATTCACATTGTTGCCATCGCCGCCACCAAACACCAACCTGCCCCTGACCCACTGCCACCACCTTCGCTACCCCCTCTGGGCTAAACGTAAGCCAGCTAAAAGTGGCCGTTGTGGTTTTTTTGTCTCATTATATTCATACTCTTTGGATCTTTCGGTAAAGTCACGGAGATAGAAAAATAGCAATTAAAAATCACGAAGTTTCGATCGCAACACAAGCAATCGTCTTCAGGTGAAAAAATACAGCAGTAGAACTGCTGAGGCAGGAGAAAATCTGATTATAATAATCACAGTTTATAATTATCACAGTTTTGGGGTTCACCACCAATAGCCTCGGTGGAATTGAGTTAAGTGAGCCCAGCCAACGCCGCTGTGTACGTATGTGTGTTGAACTTCTTTCGCACCGTACGTAGGCAACCGTGCTAATCGGAGGTGCGCTCTTCAATGTCCCAGTGCCCCAACGGTCGACGAGTTCCCGTGCCGTTGCACCACCTGCGTAGCCACGCCTCCGCTGATCACCAAGCCGCCATATTTCTGCATCACTTCCCTCGCAATGTCTTTGAAAGGCCCCTACAACGTGTTTACACTTTGACCCCCAGTGTACGATGGCGAGATGTTAACTACCTCGCCTGGTATACAGGAGGTTGTGGGTTAGATCTCGACCCTGATGCCTGTATATTTAGAGCTTGTGTGTTCTCTGTACCTGTGATTGCGTGGATTTTTTCTCCCGGTCCACCGGTTTTCCCTTCCATATTTAGAATCATTGTGCGTTTGGAGTTATTTGGCTGCTATAAGTTTCCACATGATGATGATGATGAAGCCACTTCCTTGAGCTGTCATTTGTGATCGCCAGGTCGCTTCTGAAAAAAGAGCTAAACCGCTCAGTGGCGCCTTCCCTCGTAAAGTAAAACAAACAGTTGAGTTTAGTTTAGAAAACCGGGCCACTCTGCTTCACGTGCAATGTAATCGATGGTTGGCACGGGCCCTGTAATCAGTGAGCGTGGGGTTCACCACCACTGGCGTAGCCTGATTGGCATGGGCCCCGGTGAAAGGGATTACCTGGGATCTGCATTCTGTCGAATTTATTACCCACCCAGCCCTCCGATCTTCGTCGACCGGCTCCTGGGCCGCTCCGGCCCGGGGAAAGCTGGTGCAGTTGCACCGCCTTCACACTCGAAAGCTACTCTCGCTGATGTAGTAGTAGTAGTATGATAATATTGTGTGTGTTGTGTGTGTGGTTTTTTTGTACTAAATGTGACTGGTAGATGTGTGTTGGTCAGCCAATGCGCTTCGGATATCATACAATGACTCTGCGGATGTATGTGTTTGTTTGTTTTCGCTCTTCTCTCTGTAACACGTGGACATGCGTTGTCGTAATTTAACAAAACGAGGCCTGGCAGAAACACCGACAATAAATTTGCGGTATTCGGACGGAAAAACAAAAACTGATCGAATGACAGCTTTGCTTCCTTGCGACTGCGTTTGCCCAAGTCTGCGCCGATGGATTTATCATTGACGTGCGTCGAAAATCATTTAAAGCCCTTTGTCAATATGCTGCTGGATGAAGGCCTGTCCAAACGCTCCAGTCATGGAGGTTGACTGACCATACTTCACCACGTCGGTCACTATGGGTTGATGAATGGATGACCTGGGGTGGGGGGGGTGGGTGAACCAGTCGGGATTTTCACTCGCCACTCATTCTGGCTGTGGCTGCGAATCGAATTCGGGCCACTGGGTCGATAATTAATTCAACGCGCTAACCACTGCGTCGCCACTGCTCCCCTATCATCGATGTAACACCGGTTAATGGATAAAGGGCTGAATTAAACATTTATACTTGTAAAGAGAAAATTTGGCAGAGTATGGAACGCATCTAAATTTAGACTTTGTGAATTCGTTTATTCAAGGCAACGGACAAAAATATATTTCAACTCACGCAAGCTGCGTCTGATCATACTTTGAGCTGCCGCACGACGTCCGCATGCTGCGATGTTAATGCGACGCAATTTGGGCTCGAGCAGCAGCAGCAGCTGAATAAGCAGTCGGGGCTACCAACCCGCGCCTCATTGGCGTGCAGGAGCTACCTACCTCAGACGCAACATCCCGCTAACGCTGCTGTTGCTGCTTGCGTAGGCAGTGGTGCACAAACAACAACGACAACAAACCTCAATACATTGCGTCAATAACGCTCTTTTAAACAGCTCTGCCCAGACTCCACGTCGTTGCACCAAGATGCCAATTTGGCCCGCGCCGCGGGTAGGCCCTCCGTGTGCGGTCGGTCTCCGTTTTGCACCAAACGGTGGCTGCATTCAAAGGTGGCGACCCTACGGGTGGGTCGGCGCTTAGGCAGTTGATCGTGCAAAAAAAAAAATCCGGTCAAGCCAAAACGTTCTGTGGTGCGTGAGTCCTCGTGCAAAGGGAACACAGACCCCAAAAAAAAAACGTGAACCGTACAACATTTTCTCACCATTCACGATGTGGTTCGCAGGTCTCTTGATTCCCCGCAACCTCCTGTCCACCAAGCGGTCGTGTGCGGTGGGGAAAGAGTTTTTTTTTTTCGCTCACCAGGTAAGGCCCACTGAGCTATGCAGTTATTTTTTCAGAAGCGACCTGGCCACGAATGACAGCTCAAACAAGTGGCATATCGTAATGTGGACATTTACAGCAGCCAACCACTCGAAACGCGTGTTGCTTCTAAATGTGGAGGGAAAACCCGGAGGCTCGAAGAGACATATCCCAACGACCACGGGGAGAACATGCAGACTCCAAATATACAGCAGGCGTCGCGGTGGGCATCGAACTCACAACCTCCTGTATCAGAATCAGAAAAAAGGGTTTTATTCGCCATGAAAGTTCACACAGACACGGAATTTACTTTGGCAGGATGGTGCATACATTCAACATATAGGAATCTAAAATCTTAAATAAGTTTTAAACAAGTCTTACTATAATAATAAGGGTTAAAAGTCTAACTAACACCAAGGGGCTGAAGTATATAAAATTGAATACATATCGAATATAGAATAGCTTTAAGATATAATTTAAAAATAAAAAATACAAATAGGTTAACATAGTTAATATCGGCAAGGTGTCATGTAGATAAAATGTTAAAATCAGTGTAAGCCCTTGGCCTTGTTTAACAGGCCAGCAGCAGATGGGAAGAAACTGTTTTTATGGCGTGAGGTTTTGGTCCTGATGGACCGAAGCCTTCTGCCGGAGGGGAGTAGCTGGAACAGAGAGTGTCCAGGGTGGGAGGAATCGGCCACAATCTACCTCGCTCGCCTCATGGACCTTGTCGTGTGCAGGTCCTCGAGGGTTGGTAGATTGCAGGCAATCACCTTCTCAGCAGTGTGGATGATACGCTGCAGTCTGCTCTTGTCCTTGGCAGTGGCAGCAGCGTACCAGACGGTTATGGAGGAGGTGAGGATGGATTCAATGATCGCTGTAGAGAATTGCACCATCATTGTCTTTGGCAGGTTGAATTTCTTCAGCTGCCGGAGAAAGTACATCCTCTGTTGAGCTCTCTTGGTGAGGAAGCTGATGTTCAGTTCCCACTTGAGGTCCCGGGAGAGAATAAGTGCCCAGGAAGCGGAAGGACTCTACAATTTTGACTGGGGAGTCTAACAGGGTGATGGG